ACTCTGAGGGCAGGCTCCTCTCTCTTGTAAATATTTACAGCCTCGGAGAGGCAAAGAAGGTAGTTATGAATAAGAGTGGATTCGATGGTCCCTGTCCAGAGACTGTAAATTTGAAAGTCTTTGATTCTGTAGGAAGGGATTGGAGGAGGGAGAAAGACAGATGTCAGCCAGACCCAGAAGCAGACTCCGTGGTGTAGTAGTGTTGTTGTGTGCAGTCGAGTCTGAACTGACCCAAAGCTGACCCTCCAGCAGGTTTTCAGAGACAGTCAATCGCATGAAAGGAGACAGTCCATCCTTTACCCACGGAGTAGCTGGTGGATTTAAGCAACGAGCTTTTGGGATTTCAACACAGCTTCTTAACGCTGCTGATGTTATGTGCAATCGAGTCGCCTGCAATTCATAGCGACCCTATGTACAACAGCCCTAAACCCTGCTCTATCCTGTGCCAATCTCGCTATCTCTGACACACCTACCCCAATTACCCCAGTTATTAAATCAATTCATCTCATTGAGGGTCTTAATTTCCTGTGCTGTCCTTCCTCCCAAGCATGACGTCCCTCTCCAAGGACTGGTCCCTCCTTGCAAGATGTCCAAAGTATGTCAGATGACTCTTCGGAATCCTTACCTCCAAGGAGCAGCCTGGCTTCACCCTCTTCAGAACAAACTTGCCTGTTTTCTTGGCAGTCCATAGTATAGTCAATACTCTTCTCCAACACCACAGCTCAAAGGTATAAATTTTTCCTCTATCTTCCCTAGTCATTGTCTGTCCAGCTTTCTGATGCATAGAAAGTGATTGCAAAGATCATGGTCTGGATCAGGCACCACCTTAGCCTCCAGAATGACATTGTTGCTCTTCAGTACAAGGAAAGTAAAATATTTGGAATCACTCTCCATAGATGAGTAAATGAACACAAGCATCTTTACCTTGATACATATCTACACCCATTATGAAAAAAAAAAAAAAAACGTGTTCCAACAGAGTATGGAAATTATCAAACAAGAAATAGACCAGGTCCCCTAGTGGTAGGAAGCTGCACTGCAATGCTGAAGGCAACCAGTTGGAATTCACCAGTTGCTCCTCAGGAGAAGGATGGACAATCTCCTCCCGTGGGATTTACTGCCTCTGAAAACTCGTTGAAGGGTTAGCTATAAGTTGATTCTGACTCAATAGTAAACAACAACAGCAACATATCATTAATATCGCATGCAAGCAAAATCCTTCTGACAGTTATCTAAAAACGACTGGAAGAGTACATTGACAAAAAACTACCAGAAATATAGGCTGAGGTTAGAAGAGGTGTGGCATTAGGGCGCCATAGCCAATATCAGATAGATCTCAGCAGAAAGCAATGAGTACCTGATGAATGTCTGTGTTTCATTAACTATGCAATGGCATTTGACTCTGTGGATCACAACAAATTGTGTTGAGAAGAATGGGAATCGCATAAAACCTGACTGAGCTCATGCAAAACCTACACTTATATCAGGAAGCAGTCATCAGAACAGAGCAAGGAAACACTACATGGTTCAAAATCAGGAAAGGAGCGCATCAAGGATGTGTCCTGTCTCAAAGTCTTTTCAATCTGTATGCAGAAAAGACCATTCAGGAGGCTGGACTTGATGAGGAGAAATGTGGCATCAGGATTGGAGGAAAACTCATCAACAACCTGCAACATGCAGATGACATAGCCTTGCTTCCTGAAACTGAGGAGGACCTCGAGCACTTGCTGAAGAAGAACAAGGACTGTAGTCTTCAGTATGGATTAAAGCTCAACATCGAGAAAACAAAGATTCTCACCACTGGGTCAATTGAGAGCACCATGATAGATGGAGAAGAGATTGAGATTGTCAACAGCTTTAGATTGCTTCGCTCCACATTCAACACTCTTTTTGTTTATCTTTAATTGTGATTTTACCGAAAGTTTACAGAAAAGTTGAATTTTCATTCAATCATTGTTGCACAATTTTCTCCCTCCCCCTCCCCTAGTCCAATGTACCTTTTATGCTAGACTGTTGTCATACATATAATGTCTAATATACCTTTTAAACAGTTTTTGTCCTTTTTATCTTCCAGTGCAGTGTTCATTATTAATCAACACACTTGGCACCAGTAATCAGGAAATAGAAAGACAAGTTGCATTAGGAAAATCTGCTATCAGGGATCTCTTCAGAGTGCTAAAGAGCAACAGTGTCAGTCTAGGGACTAAGATGTGCCTGATCCAGGTCATGGTCTTTACAATTACTTGCCATGCATCAGAGAGCTGGACAATGACCAAAGATGACAGAAGTAGAACTTTGATGTCTTTGAATGGGGCGCTAGAGAAGAATCTTGAAAAATACCGTGGACTGCCAAGAGAACAAATAATGTCTGTCTTGGAGAGGGTGAAACCAAGCTGCTCCTTGGAGGTAAGGATTTTGAGGCTCCAACTCACATACTTTGGGAATATTGTCAGAAGGGACCAGTCCTTAAAGAAGGGCATCATCGTTGGAAAAGTGGAGGGACAGCACAGCAAAGGGAGACCCTAGATAAGGTGGATTGACACAGTAGCTGGGTTCGTAGGGGTAGGAGTTTCAGAAACAGTAAGATTAACTCAGAATACACCAGGGTTTAGAGCTATTGTGCCTTGGGTCCCTATGAATCACAAGCAACTAGAAGGCACATGGCAATGACAATAACTGGGTAATCCAACACTGCTTCCTGCCCTCTTCCACTCAGTCTTGCATCTTCCCTTCAAACTTCAGCTCCTCTGCTTGCGTGCTGAAACTTCCAGTGTCGGTCAGCTTCACAGAGCTGGTTCTCTGCATTCCTTTGTCACAATCAATCTGAGGGCCAGCTCTATCCACCACTCTGGTCCCTAGACAATGACTAACTTATTCCCTCTGGCCTAATCCCTACCCTATCCCACCCCTAGATTTCTCTCCGCATACTTATACAACCCTTTTCCTCCTCTTGCTAGGTCGAAAAGAGTATTGACTGCTGTGGTGGTGCATAGATTGTCATGTCTTCAATAAACCTGTTTGTCCACATTGCTGTTTTTGTTGTTGTACTGTATCGTCATGTGACAACAACTCATAGTCACTCTGTGAATAAGCTCTGAACCTTGCCTTGTCCTGAGCCAACCTCACTATCTCCGACACACATGAAGTTCCATCAGTCTGTCTCATCTTGGTCTAACCTCTCTACCCTTCTAAGCATGATGTCCTTCTCCAAGGACTCAGACCTCTTGACAACATGCCCAAAGTATGTGAGTTGGGATTTCAAAATCCTTGCCTCCAAGGAACAACTGGTTTCACCTTCTCTAGGACAGACCTGTTTGTTGATTCTTTTAGTCTTTCCTATTTCCCAGGACCCTCAAACTGACCCAGACAAAGACTACCATATAAAGTTTAACATAGGAGAGATATCTATTACCAAGACACATGTGGGTGAATCTGCTTCCAAATTGCCATGAGAAATACGGCTGTGCTCTAAACATCCCAAGAGCTTTGATTCTTTCTCATCTTTCTATTTAC